TTTAAAGGAGGGAGGATTGTATTGGGCGGTATTGAGTGGCAATGGCAAATGGTTTACATGGCTCACGGCATCACAGATCACGGTAGAGGGCCCCATAGCAGAATTTTGCTTAGGGCCCCAGGGGGAGGTCAGGATTGGCAAAAAAAGATTGATTTTTTCCCGAAATCTAAGCGTTTTTTCTTTTTTTGAGTTTTTCCATTCAATCCAGATTATTTCTTTTCAAATAAATAAATAAATAATAATTAATAAAAAAACAATAAACAACAAATATGAGGAACTCTTTTGCTCATTTGTCTCATCTCTGACATTTTTGCAAATCTTTTATAAAATAATAATAAGACCATAAGATGAGGCATTGCGTTTTGGACATAAAACACGGCCAGATAAGGCAATTTGGAAGGTGACAAATTTCAACTGAATATATTCCTTCATATAGCCCGTACAGGGGGAGGGGGGGGGTGCCCTTTTTTTCAGGTCAGAGCAACTGCCCCTCAAAATTCCTGTGCACGTCCCTGCATATCAGCATCTAAAAATGGACATATTATTCACCTAAAATGGACATATTAGCACCAACAATGTACATATTAACATATAAAATGTACATATTAGCACCTAAAATGTACATATTTACACACATAAAATATCCATATTATGACCTAAAATGTACATATTAACACTTAAAATGTACATGTTAGTACCTAAAATGTACATATTAGCACCTACAATGTACATATTAACATTTAAAATGTACATATTAGCACCTAAAATGTACATATTACCACATAAAATATCCATATTATGACCTAAAATGTACATATTACTACCTAAAATGTACACATTATGACCTAAATGTACATATCAGCACCTAAAATGGACAAAAGTTTACCTTTTGAAAAGGTACAGCCGCAGTGACGGCTTTAGTACCTTTTTTTCTGAGAGTGCAGGACAGTTGTTATAAGGCAATTGGACGAGTGTTGGAAGTGTTTCTGTATTGTTTTCTACCAGCCTACAAAAAGCAGAGAACAATTATACTTATTTTGCCTACTATTAAACATTTTGTAGCGTAATTGTCTTTTGATTAGGGTTGCAGCAATTAATTGATAATAATCAATAGTAGCTGATGTCACACAGAACAAGATACGGCAGAAAAAGTCCACAGCACAAGTATGAGAGCAGTTCACAATAAACCTTTTAAAGAAGGTCATGTTGTGTATGTGGCTAGGTTTATGTGTCAAGTGCTTTGAGTGCTAGTATTGTTCAATACAGTTATAAGGTTTATACTTTTTATTGTTCTTATAGTGTATGTGTGTGTGTTTCTGTTTATATATACTGTATGTGTTTATATAGTATATATATATGAGTGTGTGTGTGTGTGTATAATATATTATACACATACACACACACACACACACACACACACACTCATATATAAATATTTATATATAAACAGAAACACATATACTTTTGGGACAAGTTGTTTTTGCACAACACACACACACACACACATATATTTATATATATATATATTGTGTGTGTGTGTGTGTGTGTTAATGGGCTAGATATGGAATAGCATGCTTTAATTATAATAGGCCTACTGAAAATAAACGTTTACAATTTTTTTTTCAGATTAATAAAATAATTCCTCACCAAAAATAGTTGCTGTTTTACCTTTAATCACAGTCAATATTGTTCCTGATATAAGTGTTTGTAATTATATAGAATTATATAATTTAGTAGTATTTACATGGTGTGTCCCAGTATGTGGATGTGTTATACAAGCAACTCATTTACGTGCTTGTTTTGTAGTGTTCATTTTAACATATGATTGTATTTTTTCCTACACTTTAGGTGTATGTAGCAAGACTCTTTCACATATACAACAGGCTTTTATGGAAAATACATTTTACCATTTAGAGATCAGGACCTGTTGTGAAGTACTGGTCAATGAGAAGCATTTGTAAAATTGTATTAGTTGTAGAGCTGCCCGATTCTGGATAAACTGAGAATCACGTTTTTGTTGTTGTTTTTTTAAACAGATATCACGATTCTGAACTGACAACTAAACAAAATAATGTAATTTACTAGAGGTTCTGACAAAATGTTAAATGCTGTCCATTTAAAACGTTTAATTAATTTGAATGGCTTTGTAAAAAAAATCAAATGATTTAATGACTCATAAATACTTCACTTGTTTCATTACTGGATGATTCAGTGTTTCTGAATGAATCTCTTAAGTGAATGATTCAATGACGAATACATTTTTTAAGTCACTTGTCGCCACCTACTGGCGTAACGATGTAATCGACACTATCTTTATTTGAAGCTTCAAGTTACTTTCAAAAGGTGATTTACTGTATTTTGATCGCTACCATAGACATCAGTGTTTATATCCGAACTATAAACTTTTATTCCAGTACTTCTGTGATCATTTGAATATTTGTAACACGGACTGTTTGTGAAGCTGTTTCATACCTAGCCTAACTGCTTTCTCTGGCTCAGCGGATTTAAATGTTTGTGTGATTTGTCAAGTTTTTATAGACATCGAATCGTTGTCATTCAGGAATGAGATCGTGTAGGTGTTTGAATTGATATCGCAATCTTTGAACGATTAATCTTATAGCTCTAATAAGTTTTAAAATGACCGTTTTGATGCTTATAATGTGAACAAAGCTGGGCATGTGAACAGTTATGGCACACTGATGGAAAAAAAATTGCAATGGGCCATTCATTAAAGGGATAGTTCACTTTGAAATTAATTTTTGGTATGTTTTAGCTTACCTCAAGGGCATCCAAGATGTAGGTGTCTTTGTTTCCACAGTAGTTTCAATTTTGATATTTCGAGGTCAAACCTTTCCTGTCTATCAGTCATATAATGGAGGTCTATGGTCACCACCTCAAAGAGCATGCACAGAGAAGTCCAAATTAAACATGATTTAATGACTCGTAAATGTAAGTACACATTGATGGCCTAAGACACGAAACGAGCGGTTTGTGTGAGAAAACGAACAGTATTTATATAGTTTTACCTCTTGTAACTACAGCCACAAAGCGCCCGCGCCCTCAGATCACTTGGACGTGACTGTGGTTACAAGAGGTAAAAACGATATAAATACTTTTTGTTTTCTCACACAAACCGCTCGTTTCGTGTCTTAGGCCATCAATGTGTACTTACATTTACGAGTCATTAAATCATGTTTAATTTGGACTTCTCTGTGCATGCTCTTTGAGGTGGTGACCATAGACCTCCATTATATGACTGATAGACAGGAAAGGTTTGACCTCGAAATATCAAAATTGAAACTACTGTGGAAACAAAGACACCTACATCTTGGATGCCCTTGAGGTAAGATAAAACATACCAAAAATTAATTCCAAAGTGAACTATCCCTTTAAGTCATTCATTAAGTCTGGATGAATAGAATCTTAGAATCTGTGTGAATAGGATCGTAATGATAAAAATATTGTTATTTATGTGGACAGTAGGTATGGTATTTTACAATTTTACAGCATTTTAGGTGTTTTAATGTGTTAAAGCTTCTAATGATAAATTGTCCAAGAGTATCCTATAAAGAGGTTTAAACCTATTGACCTTGACCGGATGAATCATTATGTTTGTTTGTTTTCGTGGCGTGCATATAAGCTGCACCTCATGACATTGTTGGTCACACTAACTTGGTGGACTTCAAATTTATATATATATATATATATATATATATATATATATATATTTTTTTATAAAACTGAAACCTTTTTTTCTATAAATCAAAAATAAAATACTATGCCAAATTAATTATTTCATCATGGCTTTTTTATTCACTATGACATCAAGACGATTGTTGAAACTTTTTACTTCATGGCATGCCCTAAAAATATCAAAATTAATTTTCATTGCGAAATGAAAAACTTGTTCATCATCAAGATGGCTTTAAGATGATTCCATTCAAGTCATTGTACGTATGAATCACATTTCTAATGTGTTTTCGGATAAATTAATAGATTTTGACAAAAAAATTAGTGCCATGTCACTGACCCACTCGTTTCCAGGCAGTTGTTGCCAAGGTAATTTGGCAGAGGTGAAAGTGAATTGTTTAGCCAGTCTGATACAATTATACAAAAAATATTTTAGTCCACATTTTTGTAGCAAAAGCAGAATTTTTTTTCTAATAGCAGTTTGTATGCACACATATTTGCTAATCTGCTAAAAAAAATACTTGACAAATTAATTGTTTGTGAAAATAATTGTTAGTGGCTATGTTTTAACATCATGCATGCTGCTGTTTATGTTGGTACTTAAATTTCTATAGCATTATTTGTCATAAGCATCTAGGAAAAATTCTAAATGTGCAACAATTTGTGGGTCTATATAAGAAACCCTTT